TTCTTCTTAAATGAAGTCAGGGAACCAGACTACAGGAAAATGATTGTTTTTCTTGGTTTTTATAGCATTTTCGAACCCAAAACCTAAAAAAAGTCAGTGTAACTATATTTGCTATATATTTCCAACCCCCACAATTCCATCCATTTCTGAAAATTACAGCAAAAGCAAATGATGTATATTCCCTTTAAATACAAATCTTTGCTAAATAACGTAATGTCCAAACGTTATGTTTGAAAGGATTGACTCTTCAAAATCACAACTTTTAACATTTTAAAGATGGCGTCGGCATGTAAAACGGATAAACTGCAGCTTAATTATAATGTGCCATATTTTGACACATTTAAATTACACAATTCCAGGGGTTAAGATCGCGCAAGGCATGATGGGAAACAACATGGCGCAGCAAGATCGTACCCATGGGGAACGAGGTTGCAGAGATACTGACCACGCTGGATGAATGCAAAGAGCACGCTTTTCTTTGAGAAAATTGCAAGGCGCGTACGATTTTTTTCAAAGTGTATTGGCCCGATATCCTAATGTATGCCTTGCTAGAACACTGCAAATAATGAAGATGAATGCGGTGACTTGTTCAATCATCCACACGTTTTATTTTTGCCCTTTCATTGCAAGCTTTAGCATTCCTAGCGCTATCAACAAATACTTTCCGAACTTTCCGAACCGACATTTGGGTTCTGTTCGGTTCGGAAAGCCAAGTTTGGCTATTTTTAGTTCGGTTCGGCGGTACGGCTGCAGCACTACCTTGTACTTCGGAGACTGATTATTCTCACTCAGGATTTTATTGTGTCTGCCTGTATAGTCCAGATTCGGCCTTGCTAAGCCCCATCCATTTCTTCGGAGATGCATGGCCCCATGATTCCCTCATCTGTATCATGCTGTGTGAATGGTCTGGACTGCTGATGAATTGCTTACGTGTGGTCAGCAACAATCGGTTGCTTTCTCCATAAATCTGTAGACCCACTATACATTTTTAATGAATCCTACATGTCTCCTGCACTTCATGTCTCCTGCACTTCTCACATGTCTTAATTAGTCCAGAACCAAATGTACCCCTGCTTGCCTAGTGTCATATTTTGTGACACGACAGTTGTAGTTCATACTCATAGAATCTTAGATTAGTAAAGTTCTGTTCAGTGTGACGACTCCATATTTTTTTTTTCAAGATCAGCATCCGGACATTTTAAAGATATTACACAACCTTGTGTAAACTAAATAAAATACATTCACATATTTTTCAGAGTAGGATTTTGGGTAAACAATGATGCCGGAATTGATTTTCTTTTTACTTTTTTTCTGGTAAAAACCATAGTCTGTTTTTTTACTGGATACTGACTGTAGCGAGCTGCTAATCAAAAATAATAAATTCAAAATACAAATCACACAACCGTTAAAAAAAAAAATTGTAGGCCCCTACATCAATTTATTTTTTTTGCACTTTGGATTTTTTTTTCAAGATTTTTGGCTTGTTCAGATTTATTTTCAAGTTTTCAAGATGGGTCACAAAATTTCTTGAAATTTTTGTTCGGCAACACTGGTTGTGTTCAAGGTGACACTTTTTGCACATATTTATTATACCTGTCTATTCCATATAAGAAGTGTGATGTGACTGCCGTTGCATATAAAGTAGGAATATTTCACTTTTTTCCCACAATTTCTTTGGGTTACTCATCAGCTGGCTAGCATTTCTTTGCACAGAATGTGGAAAGTGATGAGGAAGAATATATTCCTGGAGTTATCCACCCTCAAAGAAACCTCGCATGACATGTTCCCAATCCAGAGGTGTGACCAAAACACAGACTTGTATTTTATGATCAGCAGGAGACAACAATGCAGAAGTTGTAAAGAAATCCTAAAGATTTGTCTTCTTGGGTCTCACTGCTTAATGCTACAAAAACCTGCGCGTTTGATCCAATTCTGCAGGTTTCATCATCAGTTACATCTTTCCCTGACATACACTGTATATTATCAAAGGAATTGTAGTAGTGCATTCACACGGAAAAGGTTGTAGTACAGAACAGAGGAGGTCAACAAGGGAACAACTTACATTGTGACAATTAAATCAGCAAAGACGATCATGAGGTTGATGATCAAGCCTGTCTTGATGACAACTCAAATACAGACTCTGACTCTAAATTCGAGTAAATTTGAATGATAGTCAGGGAGTTTCATCAGAATCAAAAGTGATATACAGGCACAATTTTGAAGTTAATAAGGGAATAAATGTGTGCTCCGGAGGTTTTTATCACTCGTTTAATACCGCTTAGAGTCTGGGTGCTGATAATAACCCGAGCCGGAGGCCGACCGAGCACATATTTATTCCCATTCATAAATACCTTATCCGTAAAAAAATATCAAATAATTCGTTCAAAAAATCCCGATTTTGTTCAACAAGTTCACTTCATGCTTTTTGAAACATCCCTCTAGCAAAATAATGGAGTGTTCAGCTGGCGAGTAAGATGTAAACAACCCTTTTATGGAGATTGACGCGCGCGTAACATGTTCTGCGCGATGTCACGCAGAACGCACCTGGGGCGTTGCGTTTTGAATTTAGAACTATAAAATTCTGACTCGCTTGTAGTGTTGCGCATGCCTACGTGAGGATTGTGAACGTTCAACCAATGAAACGGTAAGAGGCACTGGATTTTTAGGAGTCCACATTTTATTGTGACACTGGAAAAGTGTTTAAGACCAGCTAGCCATGTCTTTATCATCCGTTTAAGACCGGTCACGTGACAGGCTCTCGACCAATAGGAATAGCTAAACTGTCTGAGGTATTTATGAATAAATGTTCATAATTATTAAGCTCATTTGGGAGGGTTTGGTGGTTCATTAAATCAGATAAGCCCTATTGCAGTATGTAGAAAGAACTAAAGTTCCATCTGGTTGCAAAATACACAATATTTATTACATTTATGAATGTATGAAAATACCAGCAGTCGCAACAAAATCATATTTAATTGTCAAGAAGACCAAAAATTGCTTAATTTTTTCCCCATGAAAACTCACATTTTCTGTGCAGCAAGTTTATGGAAATACATGTGCACTTATTGTTCCCCCGCGGCGAAGCCGAAGGGACATACTATTTTCCCCTTGTCCTTCCGTAGGTGGGTATGTGGGTGGTGGGTGTGTGTGTCCGGACAAATCTTGTCAGCGTGATAACTTGAGAAATACTTTACATGTGAACTTCAAATTTGGTTTGTGGATTGTTCTTGGCAATCCTAAGAAGCCTATTGCATTGGGGGCCGAAAGGTCAAGGGTCAAGGTCTCAGTGGCTAAAGCAAAAGAAATTTTGTCAGCGTGATAACTTGAGAAATGCTTTACATGTGAACTTCAAATTTGGTTTGTGGATTGTTCTTGGCAATTCTAAAAAGCCTATTGCATTGGGGGTCGAAAAGTCCAGGGTTTTTCAAGGTCACAGTGGCTAAAACAAAAGACATTTTGTCAGCACGATAACTTGAGAAATACTTTACATGTGAACTTCAAATTTTGGTTTGTGGATTGTTATTGGTAATCCTAAGAAGCCTATTGCATTGGGAGCCGAAAGGTCCAGGGTCAAGGTCACAGTGGCTAAAACAAAAGAAATTTTGTCAGCGCGATGACTTGAGAAATACTTTACATGTGAACTTCAAATTTGGTTTGTGGATTATTCTTGGCAATCCTAAGAAGCCTATTGCATTGGGGTCAAAAGGTCCAGGGTCAAGGTCACAGTGGCTAAAACAAAAGAAATTTTGTCAGCGAGATAACTTGAGAAATACTTACATGTGAACTTCAAATTTGGTTTGTGGATTGTTCTTGGTAATCCTAAGAAGCCTATTGCATTTTGGGCCGAAAGGTCAAGGGTCAAGGTCACAGTGGCTAAAACAATAGAAATCTTGTATTTATTCTGAGATCATAGGGATTAATTCATATAAAACCTACAGAAAACACTAATGCTGTCAATGAACGTTCCATGTGACCCAAGTACATGTACATGTTAGTTGATGTTAAAAGAGTGGTGTTAGGTCATGGGAACAGTCATGGTTGCGGGGCATTTGTGTTTGTAAACACACCTGACTTGTTTTTATATCAGATTTGCAAGCCATTTGTAGGGGTATCTGTCATAATTATGATCTAATAGTTACAGTTTCATGAAAATAAAACATGCCAATTATTATAGTACAAGGAAACAACCATGACCTTCAGAAAATACAGCCCGCCAAAATGGACATGCTCTTCTAAGATTACACATTCGACTTCTATACCAATTTTAATACATTTTAACCTCAACCATCAACCTGTAGAATGTAGCCATTGAAAACTCAAAAGCTAATTTGAAATGAACCTTCTACACCAGCCTCTCCCCCCCCCCCAAAGAAAAACTGCCTCTGCTTATATCTGCCCTGGTGGCCTGCAGTGTGCTTCGTTAAAATAACAACACGCATGGGTCAGTAGTCTTCGAGTGCAGTTTCAAAAGGAGAGTGAGCAGTTTAAAGGGAATATATATACAAGATTTGCAAACATCCAAAAATATAACTACCAAATTTCTATGAAATACTGTACTTGACTGTTAGTGAAGTACAGTCGAAAGCATACCCTGTAAAACTCATGGCACCTGATTTGCTGTCATTCTCAAGAAAAGTGGTATTTTTGTATCAATTTCCAACGCTGGTTGGAAGAAAACTGTTTTCCCCCAAATACTGCCCCCAATTTACAATATTAAGTTAGTCGACATTTTGTTTGCAATCGTTAGCACATCTTTGAATGGGTTCACGCAAGTTTCCCTGTTTCCCTGACCATACAATTCCCTGGCGTCTATAAATTGCAGTGTTGAATTTAAAGAGGGGTCGGGGAACCAGACTACAAGAAAATGATTGTTTCTTGGGTTTTCCAGCATCTATGAACACAAAACTTCATACAAGTCCGTGTGAGTTTGCTTTAAAATACTTAACCCATCCCCCCCCCCCCCCCACAGCCTTTTCTGAAAATTACAGGAAAAGCTATGTTGTACATTCCCTTTTATGAGCTTATGACATGCAATGACATGTTGGCCACATTAGGCAGGTGGCCTCAATACAGTGTTTAGCCAAATACAGGTGAAATAATTGTAACCTTTTGAAAGAATTTAATGCTGGGATGCTGTAGAGGACATCAAGCAAGTGTTCATGGACTCATGGACTAGATTGGGAAGACCAAGGACAGCAAGATCAGAGGACAATCGCTGCAGTTCGTCAGCAGTTGATCGACCATCAACATGACAAAAGTGCAAGACGGAATGGAGTTGGGCTCAGCCCAGCCTCTTTCAATCGGATAAACACGACTTGACCTTCATCTTCATCCGTATAGAGGAATTTCGAATTACCACCGTCTCCGCATTTCCACATTGAAACCGAGGGTCTCTGTGGCACGCATTCTGCACGTTCTGTTCCTCACATTGCAGGCAGGTAGGTCGGCCCTCTCGTTAAAGACGTTTTCCTTTTTTGTAAATCTTGCGATTTTTTTTAGTGGCGGTGGCATGTAATAAATCCCACGTTAATATAGCATAAATATACAAGTATGCCACTGCCATACTATTATAGGATATGCCAATATTGTTGACATTTTTTTGGTCACTGTTTTGTGTATGTATATCGGCCATGTCGGTAGATTCAAGGAACCCGACGATTAAGCGTGGTTACTGTAGGCCGAAGTTCAGAAACTAGACCGATTTTCGAGGTTCCTCAATCAAGAAGATTATACACTGAAATATTATTATTGTTTCGTAGTTTTGTTATGAGCTTAGGTTCTCAGTTGTTTTGTATAGACTAGTAGAATATTGGAAAGACAGCAGTGCCATCTTCAATTAATTACAGGGTTGCAGATGTGAATAAATGGAGGCTCTCGTCAAAATTGCATTTCATGTTTACAAATAAAACGGCTATTTTTAACGATTGTAGAATATAGCCAGACTGCCTGAGCGGTGAATGATTTAGAAAAATCCATGTACGAAACTTTGCTAGACATCATTGTCATTTTAAAACAGTTTTTAATAATTACATAAATTGATACTTTTGTATTCATTAGACAATGGCTAATCTCACAGAGAAGATGACATTCCAGGAGCAAAACGGGATGTTTCTGTGCCTGCTCTTCAAAAAGTAAAATGTGAAGACCGAAGACCGAAGTTTTGACTTAAATGCCGTGGAGATTCTTGCAAGGCCAAGGCGCAGATGATAGAGGTATGTATGCAGAAAAATGTTCGGCCACAAAAAAAGTTCTGCTTCCGATTTATACATGGGATTTGGAAATAGGGTAGGTAGGCAGGGTTTATTATTTTTTTTGACCATGTTATTTTGTTTACAATCATATGGAGGTGTCGGTATGTAGTCAAGTGTACAAAAAGTAATTGACGATTTTCGTTGTTTTTTTTTTCATTTCCCCCTCCCTCCCCCCCAAACAAAATAGGGTAGGAGCTGTCAAAAGATGGTAGGTAGGGTAACCAGAAGCAGAACTATTTTATTTTGGCCTCATTTGTACACCGTTTAAGGCTAATTAAATTAGTGTCTGGTGCTGCCTATGTTGTGGGCAAGCATGTGGGCATGGCTGGGAGGGCCTGGGGGGGGGGGGGGGGGTGTTCCTAGTACATTTTGTATACAGTCACAGACCAAGGGTGGACAGAGAGGTTACCACTGAGGAGGAGGGTGAGGTTGTCCTGGGAGGGGAGGGGGCAGGGACAGAATGGTATTCACAAGTAAAAAAATAGCCATGTTTGGGAAAATGTTGGGGGGGGGGGGCCTCCACACCTCCTTGGATCCACCATTGCTGACAGTACTTTTGCAATTATTGCAGTGATTGTGGAATTGACATGTAGTACTCCATTTCTATGTTCTTATAAGACAATGAAAACCCACTTTTATGCAATAGCACTCACATACCTGGCTGCAGAGAGGGCATGTTTTTTGTTTATGAGAGAAATTATCAGATGGAATATGAAGATGATGAGAGCAATTGTTGTTTACATTCAATAAAAATGACTACATGTGAATCAATGCAATAACTCACACAGTACATGCCAACTTACAATCACCAATATATGTGAGGGCTAAAACCCGTAAACCATGTTACATTATTCTGACAATACAAATTGTTGATTTTTCCCATTTCTTGTTATTTTCCATTTTAGGATCCAACAGCTTGTCCTTAGACATGGAAATGAGTCTACAATCGTTGATCCCACTCCAGATGAGCATTGGGAGAGTCTCTAGTGCAGGGTCAGCTGGCATTAACTGGAGCAGAATAGTGTGACTTTGTTGTTTACACACACAAAGGTTTAATCATTCAACGAACACCTTTTGAATTAACATTTTGGAATATCCTTTACAAAAAAAAAATGCAGAAGTTTATTTTGGCTTTTACATCAAAGTGGCTATTGAACAATTCTAATCTATTGTCTCGCAAAGTTAAAAACTTTTTTTTGCATGTAATCATTTTCCCTTGACAGTGTTATAACTCGATCAAGACTTTTCAGCACCCACAGCATTGGCTGAGATGGTTCTTTTTTTTTATATTTTGAATTGTGAATAATTATGATTCATAGTTTTAAAGAGGCATTCATGTTGATACATTAAGTTTGTAGTCATTAGACATTAGGCATAAGTGATCAACTGGTATCGCACACTGGTTTGGGTATCAAACATTCGTCAAAATAGTGTCAGTGTAGACCCTATCAAAATATTAGAAACAAAATGTGTTGAACTTGTATAACTCAGTAGTATGCATTTATGAAACTTAAGGTGTACATCCTTATATTGGCAAGTTTTGCATGCTTGATTTAAGGGCTTACATAAAAATACACAGTTACAAAAATTAGTCAAGAAGCCAAGCACATTAAAATTTATGTTTTATTTCATATTTATTTCACAGGCATTACATATGACAGTAACTGAATGTAAACCAAGCATAAACAAATCGACCCCTTAAAGAATATGCTCCAAAACATTAATTTTTTCACTTCAATAAAAGTCAAGAAAGTGCTGGATACATGTATTTGAAATAAAGTGAACAAGTGATGTATGTATTTAAATTAATGTCAGTGAGAGTATTTGTTCTTTCTTGGAGTGTAGAGTTTATACATTAGGCAAAAAAAAATCTGCTTCTGATATGCCCCACCAACCCTATTTTGAATGCCCCTACTCTAATTGTTTGGGTTTTGGGGGGGGGGAATGAGGGAAAAAACCTGAAAACCATCAATTATTACACGTACCTTTTTATATCTAAACGCAGACACCTACGATTGTACACCAAAATGCTGTTTATTACTAGACATGTACATTTTTGTGCATACTACTCCAGAACTAGACTTGTCTATGAAAAACTTCGGGAAGAATCCCGTACATGGACATCACTGAGTTTTCCCTGCAGTGACCTATCACCCATCAGAAAGTGGAAACGTCCTAAAGAGTCAAATTTGCAGCAGGGAAAATATTGAAGCATGGGCCTACTGAGTAAACAGTTTGATTGGTATTTTTCAGACCAGTCTCATAGGGTTTGTGCACAGGTATGCAACTCCTTCCGATCCAATTCTTCAATTGAATATGAATCAATTAATACGGTTCAACTAAAAAAAATGGGTGCGAGGTTCAAGGATTTCTTTCAGAACAGCGTAGGCCAGGTAAACTCGTAGTTTCTCCTGACACAGCCAGCCTCGTTTTCAAACCCGGAAGTGCGCAGATCGACGCTAAACTCGTCGTTGTGGGATTCCTCTATCGCATCCACATTCAACACAAGCTTCTTGCTGCTGACCTTGAAAGAAATTTATGACAAACAATAAAATCCAGTTTTGAAACCAACCCGATTTAGTTTTTGGTTTCTTTTTTATGCACTCATGTCTTCTTCTTGAATACTTATTCTCATGCACACCATGCCTATTGTGTTTAACATAAAAAGTAAACCAACTGCAATTTTGCATCAAAATCTCATGACAATGGCACTCAGTGATGCATGACCCTGGAAATGTAAACAAGGTATCATTGAAAAGTATAGAGATTACGCTTTCAGATGATACCAGTTTTATAGCCAGTAAACATTTAGTCTGTCCATACTGGCTCTTCAAAGTTGGGTTTCCTTTTTATTTAAACACCCTGTATATATATATTTCATATTTTAAAAACATATGTAGCACCAAATATAATTATGACTGGTAAGCCAAATAATAAACTAAGAACTTTCAGATGAAAAAAATGGCTTCCTCAATCACCATTATATTACCAATTAAACGAAATAACCCTAAAATCTGTTTCGTTCAAAAATGTTATTTCAAGAATTGTCGCTACAATTGTCTTTAAACGGCAACCTTTGAAATGTAAACTAGATCTTAGAAAATTGTTTCTTGAAATATACAGATTTCACATAGCTTAAACTTCATCAGGTTAGTTGCTAAGCACCTGTCTTTAGATCTTAGCACTTTGCTGCTTCAAACGAACAAAGTGCACAAATGACAAATGATTTGCCCTACATTACCCTTAATATTGATGGCAGGATTCAATGTTTTTGCCCATCTGCAGATGGTTCTGCAAAGACAGAGACAAGTCTGATACAGTCCACTGATGAACAAAATCAATTTGATGTTAAAGAGACACTACAAGAACTACATGAAAAGGTAGGTATCAAAAAGGTCATCTCAAAATAATGGGTTATTATGGAAATTAACACAGTTAAAGTGGTTTCACCTTTGCGGCAAAGCGTTGCAAATAATTAACATTTTCTTCATTTCAAATAATGACACCACACAAAATTTCCTCCCCTCCTACTTGGGTTTAATTCGGAAGTATCTAACCCGCTCAGCAACAGAGAAACTTGTTCACGCCCTCATTTCATCTCGGTTGGATTTTTGTAATTCCCTGTTGTATCAGCTACCCCGTAACCAACTTGCTCGCCTACAAAGACTCCAAAATTCTGCCGCTCGAATTGTGACCCTGACACTCTCTAGAACCCATATCCCCCGATTTTGCAGTCTCTGCATTGGCTCCCTTTTGCTGACCGGATTTAGTACAAACTGTTACTGCTTGTTTTTCATTGCCTTCATGATTCAGCTCCTGAATACAACATAGACCTATTAACTCCATATAATCCATCCAGGCGATTGAGATCTTCTGATGCTTCTTTGCTGGTTGTCCCTCGCACTCACAAATCTTGGGGGTGATCGATCATTTTCTTATGCAGGTCCTCATCTTTGGAACAAACTACCCCTCGGCATTCGCAATATCTCATCGCTTTCTGAATTTAAAGTTGCCCAAAAGACCTATTTGTTTCAGACCACTCAGAATATTCTTGTTTAGTTAAATTTAATTGTTTTGTTATTTCTGATTTGATATAAATTTTTGTTTGCGCCATGAGCGTCATTTATGGCGGATAATGGCGCGGTATATTTTTCCGTATTATTATTATTATTATTATTATTTTGGGGGATGCAGTTGTCTTTCCAGAGGCTGCTTTGGTGATTATGATTTTATTTTGTCTTTTTCTTTATTTATTCAGGACAAGAACAATAATTCAGCGTGTGCTAGTTCTTGTGAACCATGGAAATGTTCCAATTGTAGTAAGGTGTTTGGAACATTTTCTCTGCTTGAAGTGCATTCATGTGAATCCAAGATTAAGAGAGCCAAACCATGCCAACAGCAAAACGTCAGGACATCACAAAACAGGTTAAGTGCAAGGCAGTCAAAAGTTTGTGAGAAGACACAACAGCTAGAGCTTGGGAATAAAGACTTGCATGTTTATACACAAGTGAAAAAGGAGGAAAATCCTGGCCCTTCAAAGCTACATGTCAGGAAAGAACCTATGACTTTTGCTTGTCATCTTTGTCCAAAGGTTTTTTTAAACCATGACAAACTGAAAACACATAGCTATATACACACAGGAGAACGTCCATTCCTGTGCACAATAGTCAGTGTACGAAGGCCTTCATTTCAAAGTATAAACTATTGCGGCATATGACCACTCATTCTCCAATGAAAATTCATATATGTTCATACTGCGACAAGAAATTTCATCGAAAGGATCACCTCAAAATCACTTGCAAACTCATGACCCCAATAAAATATCATTTAGGTGTACTTATTGTGGTAAGATGTACAACACCAAACAGGATTCAAGAAGAACACATGGCATTACATGCTGCTGCATCTGGTGAGTTAACTTGTAAAATCTGTAACAAAGACTTTGAAAATACACACAATCTACTTGAGCACATCAAATTTCATTCGGGAAAGTCCAGTGGAACTAAAGAGAAGAAGCATCAATGTGAACACTGTGATAGACAGTTTTACACAAGAAAAGATGTTAGACGCCACATGGTTGTACACACGGGTAGAAAGGATTTTCTTTGCCAGGCTTGTGGGCAGAGATTTGGACGCAAAGATCACCTTGTAAGACACACAAGAAAGAGCCATGACAGAAGTAACAAATATACGGGGTTAAATTGGATGAACAGGAATTAGCCACAGCAAAAGTTCAACAAGCACTAGAAATAGACCAGTTTCAAGGACAACTCCACATTCCTTTTACTGAAGAGATTCCTGTGCATTGCTCTGTGGGACACTTTACACCCTCCTCTCACCGATTGACAGATCTATTAAAAGTCCCCCAGTGCCGCCACCTACATTCTCCAACAAGATATCACGTGGGTTCCCTTCTCCAGCAAAACAAACAGTGAGAGTAAATGCAAGGGAGAGAATGAGGATAGAGCCAGCAGTGGAAACAGAAAGTTTGAATGTGAAGAATATTTCAGGTGAGTCTCTTTGCTCAGAATCGATTGACTCTGGACAAGGTGTGGGTTTTTTGCCCATCCAGCATCAAACACAGTCTGGTACACCCTATGCAATGTGCCCTGCCAATGTCACACAATCTCCCAAAACACCACCAGAACACCACGAAGAGATAACATGTAAGCTACATCAGCACCAACTTCATCAATCTCCACAGTCCCATTTTCAGCAACAGACAAAACTTCAAAGGCAGCATCATCCCCAACAACAGTTGCAAATGATACATGATTGTACATCCTCCTCTCTCTTCAACCCAAACTTCTAGCATCAGTCAAACTTGTTCAAAAGTATTACAGGTGCCATTTTTAGATATGCGCTCTGCACTCCCTCAATTCCATCAAGCTTTCAGTAGTTATAAAAATGAGATATCTATTTACTGACACCACTTCAATCTTATTAATAAAACCTATTGCGAATTAGTCCAGCACCCGATATAATGAAAGTCATCGTAACTTACGATGCATCACAGTGCTGCGACGTGTCGTATCCCTACGGTGCGTAGTAGCTGCGACGCTCCTGCGATCCATTTCACAAAACACGTCCTAAGTGCGACGTGTCATAGGTGAATTTATAACACAACGCGGTGACTGTTTTACGTATTATTCAGTGTACAGTTAATAGATGCCTG